ATCTCCGAGTCCCTTTGCGTGCGTCTCGATCTTGAGCGTCTCGAGGGTCGAGGGCAGATTCTCAAACAGGAGCTCCCAGTCGCCCTTGCTGCCCATGAAGCACTCGAAGCCTTCCACCAACTCGAGCCGCTTCAGGGGCCGCGCGCGGAGCGCCTCGAAAAACCGCCGCATGGCCGCCGTCCGGGTCGCCTGGTAGTCGGGCCCCGGACCCTCGTAGTCGATCTCGAAAGAGGCCTTGTAGTCGAAGGAGATGGAGAGCGCCGCAAGAGTCGGCGGCAGCTGCGACGCCAGCTGGGAGAGGGCGGCGACGGAGAGGCCGCAGCGGTAGAAACCCATGACCACCGACAGCTCCGCTGGAGGGAGGCGGCTCGTCAGGAGCTTGGTGCAGAAGCCGTCGTCACTCCGATCGACGTAGTACGCCGCAAGCTCGATCTTGGGCACCGTGAGCGCGCGCAGCGCCGTGGCCATCACGTTCCAGCACGGCGCAAGATCCTATGTTGCCGAAGACACTGTCATGGCATGGCATTGCAAGCTGAGATGCTAAAGGGTGTGCAGTAAGTCCACCTTGTGTAGGTTTTTGCCGTCCTCGTCGTTGTAAGCGAGAGTGAGGGAGTCCAGTTAGGGTGGCATTGTTGAGAGGGTGGGGTAGGGTCTTGGCTCCCCCCCCCCCCCCACACAACGCGCCTCTGCCGCAACCACGCGCGCCGCCAGCGACGCCTCATCCTCGGCTGCGCGGCTCGCGTCCTCCTGCGCCGCGCCGAGCGCCCTCTCGAGCGCCGTCTTGTCCGATGCGAGCCTCCCCACCTCCTCCTGCGCCGCGTGCGCCGCCCTCCTGCGCGCCGACAGGACGGGGTGTCGCAAGCATGCAGCCGAGACGCAGCCGAGACGCAGCCGAGATGCCGCCGAGGTGCAGCTGGGATGCGGCCGAGAGGCAGCCGATCCAAGTAGAGCCGAGAGAGGTGGCTGAGGTGTACGGCCGAGGTGTGAGGCGGGGGTTGGCCCTCCTGCTCTGCGCGAGCTCGGAGCCGACGCGAGCCTTGTCTTCGAGCTGCCGCGCCGCATCCTCCCGCGCCACAGCCAACTGCTCTCCCAGCTCGTCGCGCCGCTCCTGCAGGAAGGGTCCGAGAAGGTTCCGGGAAGGATCCGAGCCAGACTCTCCTCCCACCTCGCCGCGCCGCTCTTGCGGAGGGAGCACCCACAATCTCGGCGCATCTCGCCGCATCTCGCGCGGATCTCGGCGCCCCTCGGCGCCCTCGGCGCCTCTCGGCGCCTCTCGGCGCATCTCGGCGCATCTCGGCTATACCCCGCCTGCAACACTCGCACCTCTCGCTGCGCTGCCTCGAGTGTCGCCGCCGCCGCCGCCGCCTTCTCCTCGGCGGCGCCGGCCCGCTGCAGCGCCCCCTCGGCCGCCCCCTCCGCCCTCGCCGCCCTCTCCGCCTCCGCCCCCGCCGTGGCGGCCGCCTCTGCAGCAGAGGATCGCAAGGCCTCGTTGCGCTCCTCTGCCTC